TCCTCCACGCAAAAAAGAGCATATGCGGTCATGCCTGGAAACAACCCCTGGGACCTGACGAGAGCTGAGCCGCAACTCACAAGGATAGCAGCACAGAACGACAACTGATCTTCACAAACACTGCACACACAGCGACGCGCACACGTGCTTCTATCTTTTGCCCACGCCCGTTCTCGCCTGAACGCTGCGACGTCGCGATTCTTGCGACACTGCCACACACAAGCTGCACACGAGCAACGGCGTTCCGCACACCAAACTACAGCACAAAAGTGGAGCCACCAAGCTGCATCGTGCCAACGTGGCAGCCCGCTATGTCGCACTGCATGACGACAGCGCCGCCTGCAAACTGTACAGAGCCTGAACAAACGGAGTCATCTCAAGCGATCTTGAGCGATGCTGCTGCTGCGCGAGTGCTGACTGCGAGAGCTTCAGCCAAGTGAGCCACCGTTCGGGCACGCTTGCTGCTGCTCTCAGGAAGGTGATGAGCAAGAACATCCACGCTCCGCGCTACAGAACGAGTAGATGACGCCGAGCTTGTTGCCTCGCGCAGCTAGCAGGATGCGACTGCAGAAATGCTTACAAGGAAGAAGAAAACTCTCCCGCCCTTGTAGCCCGGCCTGCGAGCCACATGGTTCTAGTAGTCGCACACGACCGACTTCTTCCAGCACAGACATGAGCGAGTTCTGTAACGTACTCGCAGCGCGACAGCCGATGCGGGCGCCCAACCCATTGGCAAAAAGGATGGTCTGCCTGAAGGTTACTTCCGCATCAGGAACCAAGCTGCACAGATAACGTCGGAAAGTGGATCGAGACGAGAATTGCTGCTGCGAATTGAATGTCACCACCATCTCGTGCACCGCGCTTGCCTCCCCGCGCATGGCTGACGTAGGCTGAAACTACGGCTACGCCAACGCGACTGTACCAAACTGTTGCGAGAAAGGATGACCAAACTGCACAAGCATGCACTTCCACTAACGCGAATGCTTCCCATCAGCTTTCCCTTTTTGGCACGATGGCACGCACGCAAACTGCGTTAGAAACAACACTAGCGCCACAATACCTGCAACAGACTGGCGCTAACTGGCATGTCTGCCGTAGGCAGAGGTACTGCGACTGCAAAAAACAAAGCTGCACAACAAACTCGCAGTTCCGTCGTCATCACTCAGAGGATGCTGGCGGAGCAGCGACGTTCCATTGAGCAGTGTCGTTCCAAGCCGTAGGTCACAACGTCCAGGTGCGCTCGATGCCCAGCTAGGCGCGGTCCACTTCGCAGTTGCTGCGCCCGGACCGTTTGCTTCTCTTTGAACATCGACCGCGGCATAGGCGGCGCACGGCGGTGTCTACAACTCTAAAAGTAGGGGATGAGCAACAAATCCTAGCGCGCCACGTCTACCTTGTGCGTGCCACACGCATGCTCCTTCTGTGGCACGCCCCTGTCAGCAATCTTGCACCGTCCGAAACATCCGCGCCTGATCCATGCTCTGGCGTGACGCGACAGCAAGGTGCGCCTCGACACGACGGTAGTCTAGATTCTAGCTCTGAGCGTTCGACTCAAGGATACGTGACACAAGTACAAACCAACAGATGAGAATTGCCCTGACAAGCAACAACCCACCCCATGTTTGCCATGACAAGGACCTACAGCATGTGGAGCGGGAACCCAAAAAGCATGCAACCGGCAGGCTTCCGTTTTGGGACCGCTCGGGCTCCGACGCAAATGCACGACGCAAATGTCACGCTCTAAATGTTCCAACGAAAGCCGCGGCATGGATTTGGGCGTCCCCGAACTCCCTGGCGCAACATCGAGCCACTTGGCGCAGCATGCGCGGGGTCGCTTGACCCAACGGAACGGACTTGGAACCTCTGCGAATGCCTAGCTATTGGTGTGTTAGAGCGTCTGATTATTTGGAGGAAGCACGCCGCCGGCCGGCTTCCGTTTTGGGACCGCTCAGGCATCCATGGAAACGCACAATGCAACATGTCGTGCTCCTACTGTGCTAACGAAACGTAGAGCATGGATGAAAAGTGTGGGATTTAAAGGTTCCCGAACTCCCTGGCACGATGCAACATCCAGCCTCGTGGCGCAGCGTGCGCGGGGTCGCTGACACGACGGACGTGGAGCCTCTGCGCTTCCTCAAGGATCGAGGCATTAGAACGCTCAGGTGTGTAGGGCTTGGGCTATATGTGGGGATTCAGGATTTAGGGTTAGCGGTCTTGCCAAAAAATGCGTAGGCTGACGGAGTTCATGTCTGCCGGCATACTTTTTGTAACCTGAAGTCCGGGATTTCCAACCTCAACCCTAAGTACATGGGGTCTGACATGGGAGAGGTGAAGCGCAAACGTGGCCAAGGGTTTGTTATAGCCCACGCCGCAGCCTTAACCCAAAGCCTTCAAGGACCCTTTACACTAGCGGCCATCAGGCCAGAACTCCGCCAAAACCGTAAGCTCCAAACAGCAAACAAATTAACCCCAAAATCCCATGTGCCTTCTTCAGCTGCTGAGGCTGCTCTGACGTCCGGATCGCAAGCCCTGCCCCCGGGCTTCAATCCCCTACGAATCAGTAAGGACCTTGTAGACAAGGTATAACCCATAAAACTCTGAACAAACGGAGCTAAAAACAAAATCTAAATCTTAAGCCCTCAAACGCTCGGCCTAGCCCACAAACGCCACAGGCCAGTTGCATCGACCTCCGCATCAGGCTGGTGCAGGCAGTTGATGCCAGCGACCTGTCACGGGGCCACTCTTGCGGGTCTAATTTTTTGCGGACAGGTCAGGTAAGCAAGAAACTCCAAGGTTTCGATGCTGAGCTTGCGTTTTAGACGTCTCGGAGGACATTGGTTTGGGGATAAGCGTCTAGGGTTAGGGTTTAATCCGAAAACCAATTTCATGGCGGTTTCGACCCTGGGACTACTGAGAGTTTGTACCCTAGACGTCGGGGCGGGCATCCGAATGGCACGCTCCTGGCTTTGACCTGCACTGCTTCTCTGCTGCAATAGCAACTGCCCAGAACTGCACAAGCACGCGCCTCCCTCCGTGCCCGCAGCACACTCGCGCTGTCTGGCGAGTCTGCCACAACCACAAGTACTGCGACTAGGGAATGCGAATGCGAAACATGTGGCCAATGAAGGCCGTTCAAAAGGAAAACTGCACGCAAAATGCAGCATTCAGGGCGCTCCCAATCAAAGGTTACTGGAGAATGTAAAGTTGGACTTCGGTGCGGGCACCCGTACTACATACGGGAGCACGCCTGCAAATGCGCAGCAGCAAGAACCGTGATGCGCGTGAATCAGTATGAACAAAGCCGTCAACCCAGATACTTGTCATCATGTTATTGCTAGGTTCGGACCGCCAGTGACATCACATACCAGCCCCGAGCAAACTTGGCTCTTGACCTGCACCGCTGCACAGCACTTGAAACAAGCTCGCGCTGTCTGGCGAGACTGCCGCAGCCACAAATGCTGCGACTGGACAACGCAAATGCGAAACATGTGGCCAATGGAAGCCACACAGAAGGAGGACGCACGAACGGTGCTGCGTCGAGGGTGCTCCCCATCTCGGGTGACCTAAGGGTTTAAGGCTTGAACCTGGGTATGGGCACCCATAGCCTTACCGTGCGGGAGCACGCCTACCATGTGCAGCAGCAAGCAACATCGGTGCGCATGAAAGAGCATCAACATGGCCCTCAACCCAATTACTGTTCATCATGTTACTGCTGGAGCCTTCAGTATACAGAGGAGTAACTGCTCGATGCCCAACACACTTGAGGGGAAACATCACACACCTGCTCCGAGCACACCAGGGCTCTTGATCCACAGTGCACTGCGCTCGATTCACTCGCTTGCTGCCCTGCAACAATCTCGCGCTGACTGGCGAGTCTGCCACAGACACAAATACTGCGACTGCAGAAAAGCGAATGCGAAAGATGTGGACAAAGAAGGCCACCCAAAAGGAAAGCTGCACGAAAGGCGCAGCGTTGAGGGTGCTCCGGCTTAGTGCAATGTTTCAAGCCTAGACTTTGGTGCTCTGCTGCAATAACGACTGCCCAAAACTGCACAAGCACGCGCCTCCCTCCGTGCCCGCAACAAACTCGTGCTGTCTGGCGAATCTGCTGTAGCCACAAGTACTGCGACTGGAGAACGCGAATGCGAAACATGTGGCCGATGAAGGCCGTTCAAAAGGAAAGCTGCCGGATAACGCAGCGTTGAGGGTGCTCCCAGTCAAAGGTTAGTGGAGGATTTAAGGTTGGACTTCGGTGCAGGCACTAAGGGTTCGAGGCTTGAACTTCGGTATGGGCAGCCATAGCCTTCCTGTGTGGGAGCACGCCTACCAGGCGCAGCATCAAACAACCTCGGTGCGCATGAAGGAGCATCAACATGTGACTTCAACCCAATTACTGTTCACCATGTTACTGTTGGAGCCTTCAGTACACAGAGGAGTAACTGCTCGATGCCCAACACACTTGAGGGGAAACATCACACACCTGCTCCGAGCACACCAGGGCTCTTGATCTGCACTGTGTGCACTGCGCTCGATGCACTCGCTTGCTACCCTGCAACAAACTCGCGCTGACTGGCGAGTCTGCCGCAGACACAAATACTGCGACTGCAATGCGAAAGATGTGGACAAAGGAGGCCACCCAAAAGCAAAGCTGCACAAGGGGCGCAGCAGTGAGAGTGCTCCGGCTTTAGCGCAAGGTTTAAAGTTTAAAGCCTAGACTTTGGTGTGGGCATCCGCGTGGTTCGCATGTGTCCAGAGTTTGTTGTCCCCTTAAATCCCATAGCTCAACGCTGTCGAAGCACTCCTGCAGATGTGCAGCAGCAAGAACCCGGGCGCGTAGCTCAGGGGTAGGAAGTGTACCAAGAAACCCCGCAACCCAGACACATATCATCATATTACTGTTGCACCACGTACCTGCCTCGGGCACTCCTTGGCTCTTGATCTATACAGTTTGCACTGCCCCGTGCAAAAACAATCTGCACAACAAACTCCACGAGAACTCATCACTCAGAGGATTCAAGTGGGGCGGAGACTGCGGCGACGTTCCATTGAACGCTGGATCGCCACTCTCTCGGCCGCAACGTCCAGGTGCGCTCGGCAGTCAACGGCTTGAAGATGCCGAGGAAGGCTTCACGCGCTGCTTCGCGCCCATCGTGGTCCTCCTCGCACAGCGCCCACATTGCCGCGATCTCGTCCAAGTTCAAGCCACAGGCCAACGTCCTCGGCTCCAAACGGCTGGCAGAATGGCTCGACAACAAGAACACGCAAAACACGAAAGAATTGCAACAAAACTTTTGCCGAGCATCAACTGCTCGCCCCACAACGTTGCATCCACAGTCCCTGAAGAATCGCGAAGGGTGATTGGCACCCTCAGCTTCTGGTCGCTCACCCAGATGTTGCAATCGAAAATGTCGCCATCGATTGCAACAAGTGTTGCATTGGTCGCACAAGCCTGCATCTGGTTCTTCAGCTGACTCACCGACACCGGGGGCGAAACATCCACGCGCATCGCCTTTCTTGCCGGGCCTGCGCTATCTGGCACGACTATCCATGACGGAGCAACAAGCATCCATGACGAGCGCGTTGTCTCAACGGCGGCCACGCCACCATACAACGACTTCCGCACGCTGTAGATCATGATCTTGTCGCCTATGCTGCAGGTGCCCAATGTGGAGGAACCCAGCAACTGGACGTCATACTCGTAGTCCCCGTAGCGCAAGCTGATGCTGCGGCGCGCCAACCCAACACCCTGGGACTCCGGCGCCAACGGCGGTGGGCCGACGCGCACGACTTTGCCACACACACACACACACACACATGTTCGTCATGGCGTCCTGCAGCGACACTGACTATGCGCACACGCAAGTGTCAACCCGACATGAACTGCAAAGATTCAAAACAGACGCCTCAGCCATCTGGTCGATATCCTGCGGCTGCGAGTGCTTCCGGTCAGCCACCGCCTCGAGTGGGAACGACGCCAATGCCCTCTGGAAAGCCTTGGGCTTGTAGAGCATCCTCAGGAAAGCCTTGGACTTTACGCCCGTCCTACTCGCCGCCGCACACGGCTTGACGCAGGCGCGTGCAGCCTCAAAGGAGCAAACCACGTGGAGAGGGAACTGATCGAAGTGCTGCCGCGCTTCTCCGGTAGCCTGCAGTTCGTACTGCGAGCCATCCTGCGCCAGCAAACGACAGCACAGCGTTGGAATGCCCCACCCAGGCTCGTCGTGCTTTGCAACCAACTGCGCCACGACGGTTTGTTTCTCCTTGAACATGGAGAGCAGCATGTGCGCTAGGCGGTGTCTACAACTCCACAAACTGCCGCTGAACAACAAAACCCTGCGCGCTGATTCTGGTCACAGCTTGCGACATGCATGCACCTTGCTTGACGTGCCCTTATCAACAATCTAACATCCACTCAACGGTTCACAAAAAGCACGCCGCCAGCACGCTTCCGTTTTGGGACTGCTCAGGCGCCAATGAACTTGCACAGCGCACATGTCATTCTAAGAATGTTCCAGCGAAACGCGGGGTATGGACTAGTGGTGTAGGATTTAGAAGTTGCGGAACACACTGCTGCAATGCAACATGGAATCCTGCAATTCGGATTGACCCTTTAGTTAAAAGGTGTAACACGTACAACTGTGGGGGGATGAGCCGGAACCAAACACTGAACCCCAAGCCATAAGTCCCAAGGGCGGCCTTGGGCCGGCCATGTCCAGACTTCGTAGAGGTCTAAGGGCCGTTTCTGAAGTGCCTCTTCGGGGTCCAAGTGTATGAGCTTTGGGATCCAGGATTTGGGATGCTTGGGGGTCTACTATTGGGACTCAAAACCTATGCGGGACGTAGGAACATCTGTGGGGCTCCTGTACATAAGGATTACTCCCTCAGCCCGACACCCGATTTTCTGACTCGGAACCCCGCACCCTACACCCTGAACCCTAAACCCACCCAAACCCTAACCCTTTGGGATTATTGTAGGGATTAGGGCGTAGGGTTTAATAGCAATATAAGAGGACCCTAATATAACCCCCTATTATCCCCTATTCTCACTATTACTGGGTAGTGGGGGGTCCACCTACCTAAGGTATGGGTTCTGGTATGTTAGAGCTTAATGGTATTATTACTAATACGAATACTACTATTAGTAAGACTACCAGCACTACTACTAGCAGTGCCTATGAACAGCTTGGGATGACAGCTGGGGTAACATTGCTTTGCTTTGGCTCATAGCAGGAAGGCGGCTGTCTCATTGATCTGCCGACGAGGTCTAAAGGTACGATCTGCGGACGCGGTCAGATTGAGAACAATTTTGGTCAGCGAGAGTTTAGATTACAGTGCACAGCTCACATGAACAATAGAGGTCTGCTACCGGGTCGTCCAAGAACATCGCTTGAGAAAGCAAGGCCTTCAATTTACGGCTTTAGGGCTTGGAGTACGGCAAGTATAATATTTAGCAATATCTAGTAATGATACTATCAAAATCCTGAACCCCTAAACCCTAATCGCTCCCACGGTAATTCCCAAGCTGAGGAAAGGCCTTCATGAAGCGCGTAAGCGTGGCACTCTTCGCAGGCTCCACCTTGCCGGTTTAGGGTTTTGAGGTTTAGGGGATTAGGGGTTAAAAGGTTTACGTTTGAGGACATAGGGGTTGGGGTTTAGGGCTTTAGAGTCTAGGATTGTGGGGTTTTGGGGTTTAGCGTTTAGGGGTGTGGTGTGTTAGAGGTTCAGGGTTGAGGGCTTAGGGTTTAGGGTTTAGGGGTCTAGGGTTCCATGCAAAACAAATCATGCATCCTTACGCACGGCCTGAACAGGGCTGCATTGGGTTGGCGCTGGGAATGTTAAAGCAGGCAGCATTAAGGCACCACCAGGTATTTCCACGTCATTAGAAGCATCCTCAAATGATTCCGGCCGCCTTGTCAAGGAACTCGCTGCGAATCATGTCCTCCGACACCTTTCGCAGCTTTGGCTTTGTGATTGAAAGCCTGCGTAAATGAAAATCTTGCGCGCTGCATGCGTAGAAGATACCTCGCAAAGAAACGTCAATTACGCGGTTCGGGGAGGCTGCCCTAAACCCTGAATCCTTAGCCCTGAATCCTGAACCATACACACTATTTAACCCTAAACCCGGACCATGAGCCCTAACCATACTGCGCCAGCAATCCTAGTAACACCCTAGGAAGACGACAATGCGATCGAAGCCCTCGACCCAAACCTGGACCTGCAATCGCAACTTCCAAGCCGCGTGCCATCGACGCCGACACCTATGAAACACATGAGCTCAGCACCAATTCCTTGAATGAAGCAACACGTCCACAGAAACACCACAACCGAAACTTGCCTGGACCGACACTCTTCAGTCAGCAGCCACCACCTGATCGACAGAATCGGGGCCCAGCAGTGACAGGACTGTGGGGGCACAGGCCTGCTCCAAGGAAAGCGACATGAGCCGTCGCCGCTTCGAGCAACTCGGTCGCGGAGTATAATCTACGAGGCCTGCTGACGCGGGACGCTGCAGAAGCGCTGCAAGATTTGCAGGAACCAAATTGACGCATGCAGGCTGCCCTTATTCTCTGTAACCTTGCGCACTTCGCAAAGAAAGAACTCGCAATCGTGAGTGAACAGACCAGCGCCGCTCCACATCTATGCCGAGGCGTCGAAGCTGCCGAAAAATTGGCTTGTGGCCGAATGCAAGTGCCTGGCAACCAGCAAACTGGGGGAGTCTGCAGCTTAACACACGCTGGCTAATAAGAACCCGAGCCTGACGCGCACCTTCGATGCGCGAGAAACACGTCGCTTCCAACGTAAAGCGGGATGACACGTCGGCTGCGTCGTGAGATCAAGCAAAAATCTTGCGCCACCTGTGAGGGCATAAAAGCCCCTCCAACCGGAATTACATTGTACAAAATCGACATGGCTGGTACAACGCAAATGGAGCGCCATTGCCGGCAGCACACCATGCCAGCAAAGCGTCTGCAGTCTTCACTTGCCGCGACGCAGCAAACACAGCGAATGCTTGATGATGCGGTCGCGCGTCGCGCTGCGCCCAAAAGGCCTCAGGCTGTCCGCTGCAGAATAAGCGACTGCATGTCACATCGTACAACGAAAACTGTCAAACGCCGGCCACGCCGCTGATAGGGGCCGCCGGAGAAAGTCGACCACGGCAGCCTCCAGTCGACGCCAGCCACGCCCATCCGGCACTGCACGCGGAACGCCCATGTCCAGCGCTGCCACCAGCTCCTGGTAGCGCTCCTGTCAATGATGCATGAATTACGGATGTGGAGCTTAAAGCTCGATGTTTTCCGCGCGAGCTTTGCGTTGTGAAAGTCTGGAATGTGTTGAGATCGAAACCCAAAGTTCATGGCCGTTTATAGAGCGCCTGCTTCGAGGTCAATGCTTCGAGCGGTGGGTTACAGCTTTTAGAGGTGTCGACTGAAAACATCTTCTCAGCAAGCCGCAAAATAGTCAAACACTATCGCCGACATCCGCGTGCCTGCGTCAAGGCGACGACCCTCAGCAGCACCAGACTCAGAACCAGAGTGCGAAAAGGTAAACAACGCCACTCCAGCACAGACGTCGAGGTTGCATCGAGACAGCGCAGAACCTCCGCTGTCGCAAACAAACACGAGCAGAAGCGATGAACGACACCAACCGGGACTCAACCAGACCGCGCCCTACGCGGACCTGGCACGTCTCTTACATCAGACAAGGGGCGTTGTTCACCTTCTTGGTGCAAAGACGCTGAAGCAGCTTGGATGGCACCCCGTCACCACGAGGCGCAATACGCCGGCCCGCCTGATCAGGTAAGGCACACTGGCATTCTTGCTTTTTGAACCTGAAAATGGAAACCACTCGTCCTTTGGACCTAGGAAGACCTAAAGACTGCGATGCCTGCTGCTGGGCTGCCATGCTGAGCCGCGCAGTGGCCAGCTGGTAGAACAGGCGAGCGAACCCATTCTCAAAGCGCAGCCGCGTCGGGGAAGCACGGGCCTGCCAACACACGCACTAAAAGATGTGCCAAACTCGGGCAAAAGCACTCGGTTGAAAGGGTTTGGAGTTTAGGGTCTGGAGTGTATAGACTTTAAATTGTTTAGGATCTGGGGTTCTGGGTTTAGGACTCGTCTGAGGGTTTGGACCTTTACAACTTGCTTCTGGGCGGTGGTGGCGGTGGAGGTGGTGATGGCGGCAGTGGTGGCGCTGGACGGACCGTCAACAAACCGACACAGAGCGAATCTACCTAGAATCGTAAAATACTGCTTACTGGCCTGGACTTTCCTGGCTCCGGCTCAGCTGGTATTGCAAAGAAACGTGCAACCTTGAAACGAAGGGGGGCGGGCGTGTTCCGCCTCAAGCTGCGCCCGGCGATGCGCCACCGCCTCGCGGTTGGCCAGCACCAGCCGCCACGAGAACATCTGTCGCAGACGTCCTTGCAATTGAAACTCAGACATGCAAATCATGCGCTGCCGCACTCGGGCAACTTCGAAAAATACATGACCGGCCGAACCTGTACATCGCGCGGCCCGGAGATAGGCGCCGAAGCCGCTCACAGCCGCGCTCCGTTGCTCAAGGCGGACCGCTGCCCGCCGCGCGTCCCGCGCCGCATTGCGTAGCATTAATTTTAAAAGTAGGACCGCTCAACAGGCTCGGGTACAAGGAAGATTGCCAATAAACCAAGCTTCAGATGAACGGCTCGTCTGTTTGATTTGTCGGACACTTTGCAGCTAGCGTTCGAGTTCAATGAGCTTTAGAATGGCTCCGACGCGCAGAGACATCCGAAACCCCCGAGC